ATTTCACCCCACATAACATAATCATCTAGAATGCATCGTAATTTTGGAACTCACTTAAAATTTTAGAAGGCATCAAAATTTAGGTCATTTCTATTATTTAACAGTATTCCTTGTTTGTGGGTGATATTGCCTCCGGAATTTTTCCAGCATTTTCTTTTACTGAATTCACGGAAGCATCATTCATGTTACTTTCTGACTCAATGACAGACCAATGCTAGCAAAAAGCAGAGAAACTACTTTGTCCAGTCTGTCTACTTAGTGAGGCAGTATGGTAAAAGATACAAAACATGGAATATGCGTTATAGCTTATTGCATTACGTACAGAAAGTAACAAATCTAGGGCCATTGTGGGCCAATTCATGTTTTTGGTATGAACATTTTAATGGATAACTTATGAAATTCTTTAACAGTATTCGTGGATTTAAAATGATCATTTCAGCTATATGTTTTTAGCAGGCTTTTCCACCATAATTCAATTTCAGTTTCAGTTTTATTTTTTCATTTTCAACAGAACAGTAATGTCGACATGAAATCAGGTATACAATTCAACATTCAATAATATAATACATTGTACATGGTTTAAAGTTATGAAATAGAAAGTATACATAAATATCCAGTATGATGGTTTTTTAAAAGTTTTTTAAAGATAAACCTGTGGAAATGGAAGGATCCACTAAAAAGCAGAGCTTGTAAAATGTGGATCCCTCAAAATAATGACAAATATAATTTTCATAACATGTAAATATATTGACTTGAAAAAAACATATATACATAGAGTACTAAAAAGTGGCAGAATATTTTTTTAATTCTGTGGGTAAAGCAACTTCGGTTCACTATTTCTTATTGAAATTAACGGAAAAAACTTAGCCAGGAAAAATTACGGAACAAAATGTGTTATGGTATGTATGTCGTTGGGAGTATGAAATTAGCAAATGTGGACCTTTTTCCTTGGCATGTTCTTGGTCGCTCAGTAAAAAGATTTTTTAAATTTTTAGATCGAAAGTGAAAAATGTGTAGGTTTCCTCTAGAGAGTACAGACCTCGAATTAAGCGGAATAGTTCGTATCAGGACAATTACCCCCTGGACGAAATCTGGTGACCAAAAATCTAAGTTGAGAAAAATAGGGAATATCAAGAAATAGGTAAAAAATAGTTATCAAACCACCAATTCCTCGGAAATAGAAACAAAATAGGCGGTCACATGGTCATTTGCTATTTTAAAACTATTTTAAATAATAATTATAGAAAAAGAGATTTCAAATAGGGCACAAATCATATGAAAATAGGACATAAAGAGAAGAAAATAGCAAGCATTTTTTTTCCAGAGCCCATTTTGGCTAAAGGGAGATCGCGCGATCCCCGAAAGACACACCAGTTGAAAAAAGGGGAGAGAATGAAAGGTAATTTTGTCTTATGTTTAGCGTTGAGGGTGTTATCACCTCAACTGATTGGGCGAGCGCCGACACGGAAACAGTCCCTGCGGTAGAATAGGTTTCCCTGGTTTTTCCCTTCACTATCATTAGGATTATGTAATTCGTCCGTAGCCTGGTTATGACAAGGGAACTCACAAGGGGCGGCTACCCGATAGTTTAATATGGCTCAGTTGTTGAACTATAACTCGGCCCGATAAATCAAAACTACTAACCCCAACTTAAAGGTACTATGTCCCTTTTGCAGCCAACCTCAAATTCTGTAGAACTTTACAGGAATTATGAATATGTCATGTACGTCCTATCTGTGAAATTTAAACGTATAGCAGTGTCCTCATATTCAAATTATGCAAGGAAACCCGTTTACTTGCTAGACTTCACTGTCAGACACTATTGACTGACTGACTGGCTTTTTTTTCCTTCTTTGGTAATAACAAACATGGAAAGAGTTGTAAAGGGTACATGAGCATTTGTCTACATCAATAACCCACTTCTTATGATGGCCAAGATTAAACTGATTGCATCTTTGCGCAGCATAAAACGTATGACCATTCGGTAAAATTGTCTAAAAATCAAGACTATTACTTTTGGGCTCTATAGCCCTAAAGTCGATTTGACAACTAATAGTCGTTATTTTCCCACTTGAAGACATTTTCAAGCCCCACCTTTTTTAGGGAAGTTCTAAATTAGTATTATCTTTCAAATGCAGTTGGAATTTAACCTTTTCATTTTTTTGGCCTGCAAATGGGACATAGTACCTTTAAAGGCGAAAGAAAAGTAGGATCTGAACCCTATATCAATCTGATGAAAACTAGCTCTGATCTGAATGGGTTTTTTTCGGAGGGCGGGGGCAGACATGTCACGAATTGGATGCCGAGAAAGCAGTCTGTCGAGCTATAAGCTAAATTACCCCACCTCGAAAATGACATGACATTTTTATATTCCTCATCGAGATGAGGGGACAAATCTCATTCTGACCAAGGCTTACAATCGGTTCATCGGAAACTTTTGTTCAGTGATAAACATGACATACTGGACAATCGTAATAGTTTAGGTCGAGGACTTATTGACTGATATAACTTCATTAAAGAGGCCGGTTCGTCGTATTACCACCTGACGTCTGAATGACGAAGACAGTTATCTTTGAGACGTGGAAAGAAAAAAACCTGACTCTGTGCCTGCAATTACTTATATTATTCTGAAAAAGTGGGTGATTTGGGGACTAAAAACAACTTGATAAGAACACTATCGCAAAATTTAAAACAAAACTCTAACTTTGAGTATCTGCAAACATAACTCTGAACACGATTTCTATCAATGCAATACCAGTAAGTTTATTTTTGAATACCCCCAGCTAGTAGTGACTTCTTGAATGTCTTTGTGATTTCTTTTGGTTTCAGAATGGGGACAATGAATTCTCTTATCCTTAGTCATGGTTTTGACCTTTTTAGATTCAGACGAATATCAAACAGCGCATTGGATAAGTCATTATTTCCAAGCATTAAGTTCAGGGTTATTGTTAGGCTATCTTAAAAATACCAAACATGAACTCGTCCGACTTCTTTGTCATTTCAAATTCAAAATGTGTCAACTGAGAGAAATTTTTTACAAATTAGAGGATGTTTACAGATTCGCAGATTCAATGCGAGTCATGAACAACAACGAAGGATTACCGCGTGCATTTCTTGTAGCTGTCAATGAGACTGCAAATCTGCAATCAAATATTTCCTCGGTCTCTTCGAGTTTACATTTGGGTTGACATTTACGATAGTGGTTAACGGCTATTAATGAAACGAGGTAGTTTATTGGTGTATTAAATAATTTCATTGAATTATTAAATGAAGGTGACGGTTAGGCTAGCAAATAACGACAAATAGAAAATAAGTCAAGGTGCAATACACAAATAAAAATTTAAGTAATAGTAAATTTAACGGTGTATCTGCTCTGATGATCAAACGTTAAGAATAAACCAAGCTACAATGAGAGTATACCTTCAAGATGAAAGCTTCATAACAACATAGGGTCCAATATGTAATGTTTAATAATACTCGTTCAGATTTATCTTGTATTACTCACGGTGTACCCCAAGGGTCAATCCATGGCCCCTATTATTTTTGATATATATAATTATATAAATGACATTAAGAAAGTTTCTGATAAATTTAAATATGTTATGCAGCTGACACTACTTTAATTTATACGCAGCCAAATACTGTTGATTTAGACAGTAATGACAATCATCATTATGATGAATTAATAAAGATTTTGTTATGGTTTAAATCAAATAGACTACTGATAAATCTCAGTAAAACACACTATGTAACATTCAATAGTAAGACTATAAAATAGCCAATACACTAAGTTTGTAAGGAGAACATCGTCGATTGTGTTTACCAACAACCATAATAACTGCAAGACTTTTGCTAGTTTTATACGACCCAATTACCTTCTCAAACTGATTCTACCGGAAACCTATGAGAAGTAGTTTCGACCAAAAGAAGTTATGTGGAAATAATTACTTGCAGTTATAACCAATATACAGGATCCATGCTTTAACATGATGATTAGCTGTGTGATCAGGGAAATTCCCATAAATCTACCTACCACGGCAAATTGATTGCAATCAGTTTATACTGTTGGGTTTTTTCATTGAAGAGTGGTGGCATCAGGATAAGCGGATTAAGGGCAATCTTTTAACTAGACATTATAAAGTCTACCGCCCCCTCGAAGGTCATGCGGATCATGCTGTTTTCATTATTCAGTGCTTCCGATAATGAGAACGAAGTGGGTAATAATGAGTGCCCCTGGGGGCTAAATAAATTGAGAATTAGTCGGTCACTTTAAAAATTATACTTACTCAGTAAAGAGCATATTAAAGGCCGTCTGTACTAGTTTGGCTAGGAGGGATTAGACCACCCAGGGTGGTCACTGGCAGGTGGCTATCTTATCAACTCAGCTCTCAATTAAAATAAGAAAAAGAGGATCATGGGGACCAATAGTCACCGATTAGGCATTGTTTTCTATATAGGGAGCAAGTAGCTACAAGTAGTACAGTGGGGCTTTAAACTGGAACCAGGAACGGAGTTCTTTTTTCTTCTTCATGTCCCGCAAACATGAAAATGTTCGGGGTTTTCCCCTTCCATGTTAGGGTATGTTTTTCGCGGGTTTCTCGCCCTTATGTTGAAGTCAGAGCCGAGTCAGAGAAGCGAAGATATGATAAACGACGAAGAAAGTGATGTATTTTATTATGAAGAAAGACTCAAGAAAGGAAGGTTGTATGCATGCCACATGGTAGTAACAATTCCTTTACTTAGAAATCTGCTAAAAGTCCTCTTCTGATAACTAATTAAATGGAGTTATCAAAATATCATTATTCATTATCATTTAAGGCATTTTATTGAAACACAACAACAACAACAGAAGAATATCAAAACACCTGTTACATCAAAACTGAAATTTTCAACCAATCAAATTTACCGCCGTCTAAAAGTTTTGGAACTTGCAAAGTGTTTCTGCGCAAAAACAAGCGCAGAACCACAAAATGGAAATGAGGAAGTACCCGAAAGTTATTTCTGTACCATACCGGTACCGTACGTACTGTATACAGGCTAGGCCAACATGTAGCCTGCATGGTGCGGAAATGTGTGTGTGTATTAAGCGCGGAAACACCGACGAAATCGAAACCGCAGGCAAGATAAAACATATGACTAATTTCAGATCAGTGGAATGACAGTTGACGATAAGTGGACATTTGGATGAAGAAATCTAAGGATATTATCACAAATCACTTCTGAAAACCACGATGGACACAGGCAACGTACGGGAGTGGAGCGTAGACGATGTAGCCAATTGGCTTCGTCAGGTAAGAACGAGATTAAAACTCCCCGGACTTTCCCGAGAGCGGGTTCGTAGAGACCCGTGCTTTGATCTCTCTACCGCGGGGGTGTTGTAACTTGTTGTGTGAATTAACGTGCATGAGTCTTGAATTAATTGATTTACAACAAGCAGCGTAGTCCTGAGTGTGCTATTAATCACGTGTGTGTGTTAGATATCGGTACATATCATGTCAGGATTAATGGAATCTGACTCTACTTTACTAGAATGTGAGGTACAAGAAGCTAGAACTTAGAGAAGTAGAAGGAGACACTCGGCTCTGCTCAGCAGGTCAGATGTGTAGTTTGTCACTTTGTGCACAACCATGAATATGATTATAATGATGAAGATTGAAACCATGGCGAAGTTGAGAACAGATTAGTGCGGATGTAGTGTAGGCTTACTAAGAGCTGTCTGCTGTCCCTGCATGATCATGATCTAAAATTCTAAGTTCTAACTTCGATTAGATATTGAAAAGCTGCGTAGAATCAAACATAATTTTATAAGGTAAAGACTAGACCCTATACTGGCTAGATCTATAGCTATTCTGGATTTCTGGCTATGAACAGATAATAGAACAATAAATATCCATACTCGACAGTGTATTTGATCTGAAAAAGAAAGGGGGGGGGGGGGAAAGGTACTCTGATCATGGTTGTATCTAGATCTAGACCTAGTCCAGATTCTGTCCATTTTTATATATATCTTATTCTTCAATTACACGCATGCCACACACAGCCTGGTGTCTCCATGCCCTCATCGCGCGATCCCCTAAAACAGTCCGTCGAAAAGAACTACCGGTACAGAAAAAGAGGCAAGGACTATACTGTCACCGGTTCAGCGTTGAGGGTTTGATATTTTGTCAGCTAATTGGCCGCGCGACACAGAAACAGTCCAGGTTGTGGACTAGGCTGTATCACTATTAAAAGAAGTACACACTAAAGGCTAATTCACATACTACGCTGTAAAGAAAATAAATGGAAACTTCTTGCACCAAAGGACTTGCACATATTGACTGAGCTTCATTAAAGATTCATAAATATGAAGGGTACAATGTAGTGTTACATTTTACATTATCATAAAACACCACTGTGGTTTTGCCATGTCATATCTGAATGAGCCTTAAAGCCACACTGTCCTACTTGTAGCTACTTGCTCCCACTATATAGAAAACTTTCCCCAATCCGTGCCTGTTGGTCCCCCATGATCCTCTTTTTCTTATGTTAATTGAGAGCTGAGATGATGAGATAGCCACGTGTCAGTTGACCACGATGTTTGGTATAATCCCTTCTGGCCAAACTAGTACAGACTGCCTTTAAATGCTAGCGATCCAAGCCTTTCTTCCCAGAATACTGTCAATAATATATTTCTTTTAAATACATGGGAAGAAGATTGAGAAGAAGTAATAGAAACTGATATCTACTTAAAGATACTATGTCCCTTTTGCAGCAAACATCAAATTCTGTAGCAATTTGCAGGAATCACGAGTCTGTCACGTAGCCGTAGGTCATATCTGTGAAATTTAAACGTTAGCATCTTAGCAGTGACCTTGTTATAAATGCAAGGGAAACTGTTTTCTCTCTAGACTTACTTGTCATCAGACAATGTTAAGTGAGTTACTGACTTTTTAACATAATTTGTTAATAACTAGCTATTAATAACATACATGTACATGTAGATGAAATTAGCTGTAAAGATACATGTACATTATCCTTTGTACACATCAATGACCTGCATCTTATTATAATGACCAAAATTAAACTCATCCAGTCTTTGCTCGGCGCATAACGTAAGACTATGCGGTACAAAGTGGTACAAAATTCCTAACGGTCGATATAATTCCACATAGAGACAATTACCAGTTCTAATCTTTTGAGAGGAGTTTTTAGTTGGTATTATCTCTTGTTTACCATAGGATTTACAAAATATATTTTGAGCGTGTAAAAGGAACAGACTACCTTTAAGGAGGGCAGGGGCGGTAACAGTATATATAAACATGTAGATACATGTACATGTATGCATGTTTTGGGTTTTGTTTAACTGTAAAAGAGGCAAAGTCAGAAGGTTTAAGGCTTTTTGCTAAAAAGACCACCCTCTCCCCCACCCCATCTTTGAGTTTGGAGAAACAGATGGCTATATTATGAAGAGAATATAGGCAAACTTGCTTTAGTGACCACATAGAGGGAATCTGTATATTAAAGATCACATCTATATTATTATTATTTATTATTTATATACTGCGCTTTTCCCAGAGTGGCCCAAAGCGCTTACAACAAGAAGAATCATACACAAAATAAAAATGAAAACTTACATAATCCTAAAAATCTGGATTACAAAAAAGAAATGTTTTAAGTCCCTTTTTGAATAATGGCAACATAATTTGTTTGAACTGTGACTGTCATTGAGACATACATCTAAAGACCACTATGCTTGTCTTGAATGGTCTTTATTAGGCGTTGTATTTATATACAGCCAGTTTCATTGTACAAGACATTGCCATTGGTTCCCCCTCGCAAGCCTCGTTCAGATATAACTTCAAAACTACAGCCTTTTTTTATGATGACGTAAAATATATTAATACGCTTCATACTCTTGTATCTTAAAACTCAGAGCTCAAGGCATACATGTACGTGCAGGGCCTTTATTGCGGGCTGTTACCATTCACTTTAGTACATGTTCTAAAAAATGTGGCAGTATATTAACACATTTATCTGAACGAGCCTTTATTTCAAAATCCTGAATCTGTGTCTGCCTTTCCAATGTTCATGATGGGTGAATGGATATGTACAGTGAATCACAGAGTTGTTAATTTACTTTGGGAGCCACATTTCTAATGTCAAGTTATCTCTGGTTTCTAGGGCTAGTCAAGCCTAAATATGATTACATTCCTCTGGTTTTTCCTTTGGGAAATTAACAAGTGAAAGTCTAGGCTATTGTGCTGCAAGTTTGATTCAATTCTGCACAGTAGGCCTGTTTTCACTATCTCGAGATTGCCAAATATCCAGCTATTTGAACTATCCCGATCGCAAACTATCCAGGTAATTTGCGTCTTCATCAGACCAAAGTACACCTGTAGCAATTAGTGGGATATTTGGTCCGGATTGTCATCCCAAGATATCTTGGGATAGTTTGCAAAATATCCCATTATTTGGCAAAATATCCTGCTATTTGTCCGGTGCGTCTTCACCAGACCGAAGACTCGCAATATGCACTTACGCTGAGCAAAATATCTCAAGCTAATTTCTCAAGGTCGAGTTTCAAGATTCGAGGTCGAATCTCGAGCTAATGAAGACGCAATTTGTAACTTCAGGATCAGAAATCAGAAATCAGAAATAGCAGGCTATTTGGCAATCTCGAGATGATGAAGTCGCGCCTAGTGTGGCATAGCTACAAGAGGGTGAGGGGTAAGGGGGTTGTCAAGAAATCAAGAAAAGAGAGAAAGGCAACGGGAGAAGGGAAAAGGAAAAGAAAGTATGATGCCTCAACCACATATTCCACATCCTCCCCTAATCAGTAGACTCGTAAAATCACACTTTATTTTCCGAGTAAGACTGTTGCCCCCCCCCCCCCATTCTTCCCAATCATATGGATTCATGCTACGTCACTGATTCTACATTGTACATGTATATGCCTATTATGCAGTCATTTAATTGAGAAGTTGATTCCTATACTAAATTTAAACAAACCATTTTGAATTCTAAAAAAAAGAAGAAATTATTAAGTACCGGTATTTTAAATGGTGAAATGTAATTCTATTCAATATTTCATTAACCAAAATGTGCATTGAACATGAAAACTGCATATTTTAGATACTGTAGTTACATCATTTCATATTGCATGTTTTGCCAAACCATGCAATCAAGTTTGCGAGAATCATTCTCTTGATTTTATTTTTATGTGGATTTGACTCAATTTCAGATTTTGGTTTAGTATGAACACTAAAAATAAAACACTGGGTCTGAGTTGGGGCATAATGACATTGTTGTCCCATTCAGGGCAAGGGGTGGAGGCTGGTCTTACTGAGTGGGGGGGGGGGGGGGGGGATGGGGGGGGGGGGAAAGGAGAGGTGTGAATTTCTGACTTTCCCTTTCTTCTTTCTCTCTTCTTTCTCCTTTCTTCTTACTTCTTTCTTCTTTCTTTCTTCTTTCTTCTTTCTTTCTTGCTCTTTCTTTCTTGCTCTTTCTTTCTTTCTCTCTTTATTATCTCTTACCCCATCTCCTCCATGTATTTTGTGTATAATATTTTGTTCTCTTGTGGGGAGAGGGAGAGGGGGAAAATATTCATGAAGGTGGTTCACCTTAAAAGTGTACTTTTGAAATTGAGCCCCTCCAATGAAAATATATTTTGTTGATTTGTCAAAATCAGGGCATATTAGGATATTGACAAACAGCCAAGAACATTCATTTTTTTTTTCTCTCTGCATTTTACCTCATTTAGTTGAATGGCCCTTATAAACCAGTGAAACCGGGTATTTCTGTCTAATAACATCGGATGGCAGTTTTGCACAGTTATTAATTATTATTGATAGAAAGTACTGCCCAGGAAGTTGTGGGTAATCTTCAGTGGTTTTGTTTAATAATATCTGCTTCAAATGATAAGCGGTATGGTTTATGTGTAGACCAGTATCATTTTTCACAGATCACATACACTATTTTAATAGGGAAATATCTTAATAAATATAAATATGAATGGATGGTAAGTGTATGAGAAACCTACTCTAGTTTAGATTAGATTTCTTGAGGAGAACTGTTTACATTGTGTCGAAATAAATTAAATTATTTTGTGAATGTTAGTCATAAATTGCAAAACCAATTGCATTAAAATCTGCCACCAAATCTTATTGTTGACCACTTTGAAATTTAAAAAATGTGAGTTAATTAGAATTAATTGGGTAGCTGAAATATATATCTTTTATCATCTTGATTATGAAGGCATTCTTCTTTTTATGTATCCATACTGCAGGATATGAATGAATTCTTTTCATTGTGT